CTGCGACTTCACCGACTGTGACAGTTAAGGAAAGTGAGCCTTTGCAACTTCTGCAGCTGTCACAGATAGGGAGCCTGAGCCCCTGCATCTTCTGCACCTGTCGCAGTTCGGGAGCCTAGAAGCTGCCACTGCCGAGCCTGGATGGAGCAAGCGTAGTTGGGAGGGGGGGGTGGCTAGTAATAGTAGTAGTAGCAGTAGTAGTAGTAGTAGTAGTAGTAGTAGTAGTAGTAGTAGTCGTAATAGCAGCAGCAGGAGTAGCAGTACTTGCACGCGGGCTCAATGTGCCTGCAGCAGCAGGAGTAGTAGTAGTAGTAGTAGTAGTAGTAGTAGCAGTGGGAGTAGCAGTAGCAGTAGTAGTAGTAGCCGCAGCAGCAGCAGTAGTAGCAGTAGTAGGAGTAGGAGGAGGAGTAGGAGCAGGAGGTGCTACTATGAGTCTGTGACATCAGTCGTAGTCTTGTTGTGAGAAGTTACAAGATTGTATAGCATTTGAGTTCGAGAACGCTGCAGCCGTCCTGCAACCCTTTTCCTCGCAAGCCTTCCATGGAAGTTAAACATCAGTACATGATTCGAGACCCAATCTCCAGAAACTTGAGTGGATGCCGCCCAAAGCGCGCAAAGAGGTTATCACTGTTGAACGACAACTAGAAGAGCAAACGGCATCAAGGGAAAGAAGCACATATGTTTGACGTTGCAGCAATCCCGTGTTTTTCGAGATATATGGGAACAGCATTGGTGCGGACTGACTCGGACAGGTCATTTTGAGAAATCCCGAACGCGATGTCGAGGGTAGTTAAGCCTTCTCTTGTTCCGCTAACCAGGAGGATTCCACAGGTTCCGCGCGTTCGTTTTTGTACCATAACGTAGGATGCGGAGGGTTCTTTGAGCATTCGTGCCAGGAGCCGGCATCGGAGACATCGGGCGAAGGAATGAAAAACCATCTTTGTCGCAAGAAATGCAGAGGTTCGGTGTCGTGCATGCAGCAAATCTGGCCACAGCAGGGTTACAAAGTGCTGCCAGGTCCCAATTCAACATGTTTGACAGCAGCGGCATTGCGAGTGCACACTGAAGCTTGCTTCTTGCCATGATGCAGCAGGTGTGAACTGGTACTCACGGACTTACAATTTCAGAACAGCATTCACGCATTTCACCTGAGGTGCTTCAAGACCTTGCTCTGATCGGCCTTTTGCGAATCTTGCGGAAACGTTGGGTGATGATAAGTGACTTCTATGTTTACAGAGTAGTGCGGTCTGTGTTTGGTCGTTGTGCCGTTTCCGTTGTGACCAGCAAGATCCAGACACATCTGGAGCATACTCTGCATCAGACGAAAAAGGACAGCTTGCAAGCTTGGTCTCTCGGTCACTCCCTTTCTCTCTCTCTCTCTGCGTATTTATGTATATAGTACTGAATACTTTAATACTGTATACTCATACAGTATGGGTGTGTATAGCACTGCATCATGATGATTCCCGATTCGGCCCGCAAGAACCCTGAAGAATCATGATCTGGCCGACCCTCCTTTAAAACCTGTAAAGCGGAGCTTTGGACAAACCACGTTGTTTCAAAACCCTCAGAGAACCAAGCCCCTGAAGCATTTTAAAGCCTTCTTACATGCTATATCAATCCAAAGCTAAACCCGTACCCCAGCCTCCACTCGTGAGCGTGTGGAACATTCACATGGTACATGTTCCGAGGTGGGGGAAATTATTCCGTGGACACGCCCATACGGATACCCTTTCCCCTAGAACCGAATCCCGTTCTCGTTCCGGGCGGAAGGCTGGCAGGCTTTGCCATTGTCTGAAAGCTGCGAATCTTCACACTTTCCGTGTGGTCTTTGCATTGCGGGCTTTTGGAGTGCTGTCGTCTAACCTTTCAAGCGACAGTGCTTCAACCCAAAGTCTTAGGACTATTCCCGAACCATATTGAGCCTCCTGTGAAGAGACACAATTGAAAACCTGCTGAAGATCTCACCACAATCATTGAGACTGTCTCAGCCTTTTGAAATCTACTTTGACAATTTTCTCGCCTCCAGGCATGCTTGGGTCCATAGAGGCCAAGCCAAAAACAATCTCAAGACCACAACAATGAATTCCGCGGCCTTGCCACATCTTTGGACATGTGGGAATAGGGACTGTCTCGACGTGGTTCAGGCTGGCTACCCTCTAGAGCCTCCCAGCACTTGCGAGACGCGCACAGCACGGGATAGCGGCTCAGTTGGTAAACTCGTGTGAGTACGTTGCCTCAGAATTGCACGAACGACACTCACGAAGTTTTGTCGAAGCCAATCAGGAAACTCAGGAAGATGTGCCTCCAGTACAATCTGATGTATGTGAGCAGGGACCTTGACATAAGGTTGGAACCCGATCGGAATGCACAAGATTATCTGCTAGCTGCAAAGGCGTCCGAAACTGGAAGGCCACACGGAGGACAGATGGACATGGACTCTCTGCTTGAGTCCTGCATGGGCATCAGCAAGTGTTTTGGGCACCCCTGCAGCTGCAGGACATCCACCTCAAACGATATAGCGTTCGGTGTGAAGGACGTTCTTGCTTCAGATTTCCATGAGCAGGTCTGCCAGCAGTGGTCCATGATCTTTGTCCCAGGCTGGCGTGTGCGATCGGCACCGTCGCTGAGCTCCAAGGCACGGCATCGAGAGAGCCTCAGCAAACCGTCGACTGCAGAGTTTGCTCTGACCTCGCAGGTAATAGGCACAATCGCGCATGGCACGGTTGTGGTCGGCGAGGACTGTGGGTGGTTCCCATTGCAAGTCTGGAGTCTGGCACAGAGAGCTTGTTCCATGTGGCATGAATCTAGTATAGGTCAAGCTCCGTGCAGCCATGTTCCCTCGTGGTGCAGGATTGTGCTGGTGAGATACTTGCACAGGGGATGTCCGGTACGACGCCATGTTCTCAGAAGCTATCCCGGTTGTGTAGCACACTTGTGTGCGAAATGACAACCCGTTGCTTTCATCAAACACCGATCGACTCCCTGGACGTACTTGAGTCGAGCACTTCGAATTTGTTTCCTTCCGTTGCCATTTTGGTATAAGCTTCGAATTCAAGCTTTTCTTCCGCTCTCTCCTCGAGTTCCTGTGAAGCTATGGCTACACGGCGAAGCAACTCTTGGTTCGAGTTCCTTCGCGAAGGTATCGCAGCCTAGGAATCCGGTGACTAAGATCAACAGCGTCATCTACACCGACGCATACTTCAAACTGGGTCAAAAGATATACCGCCCAGGCGTGAAGATCTGCCTAGTTGGATTTCCACCGAGACGAACAACATCGGAAACGGAGGGGCCGCCATTTGCTTCCACCAAGGAGATGTGCGACGAGCAGCCTACTTCCAGGGTCGTTTGCCATTGGTGTTAGTGCGACAATTTTCCTCCGACCAGGCATTTATCATCATTGATCTAACTGTTAGCAGACTGGGCCGCGATCTGAGCCCCGATGATGTTCGAACCTTGGTTGTAGGGTTTCTACGTCCAGTGTTGCGATAATGAGGCATCCAGACATGCACTCATCAAAGGGTTGGGCAAACATCAACCACTCGACTGTTTTGTCGCGGCACATTGGACATGGCACAATCGCTGCAGACTGGAGCACCCACTCGAACGAGTACTTACCACGGCAAATGTTTCCGATGCACCCAATCGATTCGAAGATATAGCCGAGGCTCGACAGTGGATGAGAATCGCGTTACCTTTCTCGACCATAACGAGAAAGGGCTACGAAGATTATAGGAGACATAAATTTTGCTCGCTTACCGGCTTCTCGGATGTATTGGGCATCGATAAGATACATCGAGCCCTCCGAG